CTTGTGGCACGAGTGGCGACGCGAAGCGTAGCCACGAGTGTCCGCAAGATAGGAGTATTACAATAAAGCATTGTAACACGCGTTTTTCATACTATTTTTTCTATTTCGGTGCTTTAATTTAATTAAAAAAATCATTATCAGAAACTATAGGGAACATTAGAACTAACATGTTTTATGTTGGGAACACTTTTTATGCCGTTAAGTTTTAAGTTGGCAGCGTAGTAAGACTGACATTTTGAAGTTCAAACATGGAAGTACCCAACGAAGTACCTACTTGTACTAACTAGTAACTGCCAACTTAAGAGATGAGTTACCAAAAAAAACGACTATAATCACTGTCTTTGTACAACTGTTTTCCGCCGAAAACAGTTGTACAAAATCATCATTGTGACACCGAAATAGAAAAAAATATATTCTGTGTCGAAGGTTATATTAGTTAGACCCTACGATAAAGATAGACGGACAGATCCGACAGGTAAAGCGCATTTTTTTCAAAATGGTAAAAGTGGTTTAGTCTGTGGTCTCAAATCAGGCGGTAAATTGCATCAAGGTCCTGTGGCGCAACGGATAACGCGTCTGACTACGGATCAGAAGATTCCAGGTTCGAATCCTGGCAGGATCGCAGTAATTTTTTCAAACTAAAACCTTCTTCAAAAGTTAAAAATGACCATAAGGTCAGGGACAAACAAGCCCGGCTAGCTCAGTCGGTAGAGCATGAGACTCTTAATCTCAGGGTCGTGGGTTCGAGCCCCACGTTGGGCGAATAATTTTGCTTCGTCGGTGTAATGTTTTTTACCCAATTTTTAAACGGTGCGTGTGAAAAATGTCTGGAAAACAACGGGAGATATGTGGGAACTATGAGAAAGATGGATGATGGCCTATTACCAAAAATTTCCTTTTGTTTCCCAACCATTTTCTAGAATTTGCCTTGTTTGGGAAGGGAAACAAGAGGAAGATTTTGGTAGTAGGAGGAATTCTGAGAAATTTTGAGCAAAAACCATAGGTAGTTTTGTCCTTCCTTCGACTAACTTCCGGCCCCATTCAGTAGACGGTAACCGGTTTCCCCCACTCTTAAAGAGCGATAGAAAGATAAAGACACCAATTAATTTTTGTTTATCCGTTGCTCACCTCAGCGAATGTTGGTGACAGGCTGCTTTTGAGGAAACTGGAGAGCTCTAGGAGCGCAGAGGGTGCAATGGCTTTATTATAAAGATGATGGATATCTCCAAATTAGGTACATTAAATATGTCGCAGAGGAGAATGGAATTTGAATAAGCGAATTTTGTGTTTTAAAGCTCCGATATAAAAGTCTATTTTAGGTACCGAGCTATTAAAAACAAGGGTAGCAGTAGGAGGGAAAACATAAACTGAGGCTTACAGAGAAGACCGAAAGGAAACGATTCAGGTCATTTGCGTGGGTGAATTTTATTAATATTAGGAATTTGTTGAGGTTAAGAGAGCCGGACGTAAGCCGGAGATCAAATGCAACATAGATAAGTGTGATAACAGATTAAAGGGTCAACAAAGTCAAGACCGACGCTAAAATTGTGAAGATAAGCAACACACCATACATTCAAGTATTCTAGTAGCAAACTGACAGTAATCACGTAAGAAGGGCTAACCTCCAAGGCGTTGAGTCTGGCGAATCCTCACCGTACGTGTATCAGACAACAGAAAAGCCTGGTAATGCAAGGAGTAGCACATGAAAAAGAAGAAGTTGAGGAAGGAACTATGGAAAAAAGCTTAGGTGGATACGGAGGAATATTTAGAAGAAGCAAGAAGATTTGGAGCATTTCAACTAGGAAAGAGTACTAGTCCAATGCGTGGAACAGAACAAGAAACTACCAAAATACGCTAAGAATTTGAAAGTTTCGAACATCCGGATTAACGAAGACTACACCAAGGAAATACAACAGGAGTGGAAACAGTTCATCCCAAGAATGAAAGAGGCCACCAGGTAAAGAAGAGGAAGTAATTACGGAGACACAAAGAAGAAGGGGAAAGGAATAACAGAAATGGAAAACGGCCATCTATTAGTATGGAGTGGCATAGAAAATAAAGAAAGAGCGCAAGAAGGAATTGGGCGTATTTTTAGTAAGGACCTCAAAAGAACGATAAATAAATGGGAAGCCATATCAGAAAGAATCTTAGTGGTTGAATGAAAAGAGCAAACAGATAGAAAAAGTAATTTCAGTATACGGGTCCAACGAAGATAAAATAGGGCAAAGAAAAGAAGAATTTTGGGAGCAACCAGAGGAAAGATATGGGTAATAGGGGACATGAATCCAAGGGTAGGAAACGACAAAACAACACACAAAGTAATAAGAAAATTTGGAGAAGAAACTTTGAACAATAATAGAAGAAGGCTGCTGGATTTCTGCACAGTAGGTACATAACCTGATTATCGCAAATTCCTTTTTCCAACACAAGGGGATATATAAATACACAAGAGTAGTATCAAGCAGAAAAGAATATTCGGTAATAGATTACATAATAATAGAAAAAGAAAACAGAAAGCTGATTAAGGATGTGACGGTTAAAAGAGGATACGAATTGGGGAGTAATCACTTTCGAACAGAAAAAGGGCATCGAGAAATGCACAGAGAGCAAGGAAGTGGCCAAAGGACACGAAGAAGAAGTAAAAAGAAGAATATTAAGCAGCAAGGAAGCAATAGAAAATAAAGGAACAGAAGAATTGTGGGAAATATTAAAAAAAATAGTAATTGAAGCAGCCAAAAATACATGTGGAACATGCAGAGAAAATAGAAACAAAAAACAAACGGCACGGTGGACGGAAGAAATTGAGCAGCAAGTAAGAATGAAGACAAAATGGCAACAGTACCTGAAGAATAGAGCAGAACGAAATTATGAAGAGGAGCCAAGAATAAAAGTGGAAAAATTAGTGAGAGAGGGCTAACAAATATCATGGGCAGGAGTCAAACAGAACAACAAAGAAAACCAAAAATTATTCTTCAAAGTTTTAAAAAGTCACAGATATAATAAGAAGACAGGTCTCATAGGGAAAGGGAGTGTTCTAAGGAATCGTGTTATTGCAACCTGCACACAGGAATGGGTAGAAAAGTCAAGGGAAATTCTGTCGAAGTGAAAACTATACGAGTTATACAAAGAACGGCACTATACAAGACTGCCCTAGGTGAACCGAATTCACAAAAATTAGCTGTTCTCTATTAACAATGTTGCTGTTACCCTAGAATAATAATTGGTACACTCAAATAAGTAGGGTCGTTAGGTTATCGAAATTCGTTGACGATGCAATTACAATTAGAAATAAACATTGAGAACTAAGTCCGAGTAGTTACATTGACAAACTCTAGGTCTAGATAATCTAAGATTGCCTTTTTTGAACCCCTCAAGAAAAATTGTCTCAGATCGACCCGGAAAAAAAATTTTCTTATAGAATGTGGCCTGTAGAAATTTTGGTGCAGTCGATTTTTGGTTAAAAAGGAAGGCCTTTTTTTGAGGCCTTCAAAAAAAATTGTCCATGATCGACCCGGAAAAAAAATTTTCTTATAGAATGAGGCCATAATTTCAAACAGTTCCAAGATTGGGCTACTAGTTCAAAAGTTACAGCCCTTTGAATTTTCTTTCGAAATTGGCTTCTTTTCTAGTCTATAACTTTTGATTGAGAAGTCTGATCGAAAAAGTACGAATTGTTTTGGATTCTACGCTCCAAAATTAATAAGAAAAAGTGTTTTCCCGAGAAATTTTGGTGTAGTCGATTTTTGGTAAAAAAGGAAGGTTATACACTGCCTTTTTTTTGAGCCCCGAATAGAAAATTGTCTCAGATCGACCCGGAAAAAATTTTTTCTTATAGAATGTGGCCTGTAGAATCCATAATTTCAAACAGTTCCAAGATTGGGCTACTAGTTCAAAAGTTACAGCCCTTTGAATTTTCTTTCGAAGTTGGTTTCTTTTCTAGTCTATAACTTTTGATTGAGAAGTCTGATCGAAAAAGTACGAATTGTTTTGGATTCTACGCACCAAAATTAATAAAAAAAAAAGTGTTTTAATAAGAAAAAGAAGAATAGAGCAGAAAGAAATTATGAAGAGGAGCCAAGAATAAAAGTGGAAAAATTAGTAAGGGAAGGCTAACAAATATGGGCGGACCTCGGAGTCAAAGAGAACAACAAAGAAAACCAAAAATTATTCTTCAAAGTTTTAAAAAGTCTCAGATATAATAAGAAGACAGGTCTTATAGGGAAAGGGGGTGTTCTAAGGAATCGTGATATTGCAGCCTGCACACAGGAATGGGTAGAAAAGTCAAGGGAAATTCTGCCGAAATGAAAACTATACGAGTTATACAAAGAACGGCACAAAGGACAACGAGAATAATAACAAAAACTTCGGCCTTGTGCAAGACTGCCCTAGGTGAACCGAATTCACAAAAATTAGCTGTTCTCTATTGACAATGTTGCTGTTACGCTAGAATAATAATTGGTACAATCAAATCAGTAGGGTCGTTAGGTTATCGAAATTCCTTGACGATGCAATTAGAATTAGAAATAAACATTGAGAACTAAGTCCGAGTAGTTACATTGACAAACCCTGGATAATCTAAGATTCACAAAAAAGAATTCGGCAAAGAGACCATTTAATACCCGCAAGATTTTTTTTACGCTACTAACAATTAGAATGTCAGAAAGTTCAAATTATTTTCTTTCCTGAAGGTCATCCAACAATAAGAAAAATACATTAGATGAAGTACTAATAAATTACGTCGGGTTTATAGATATAGAAAAGAATGTGAAGCTACGGCCTCCCTGTGAGTAGATTCAACAGCCCTTTTAAGACACCTGGGATTATTGACGTATTGCACGTACTAGATCTGCAGAACAGCGTAGTACGAAATGTAACGACGAAATCAAAAAAATCCGTACATGTGTAGAGAAAGATAATCAAAAACCTACTCATCAAAACTCTAAAGATCAAAATATGTCTTATTAAGTGCTGAAAGATGCAAATAATTCGAATATAAATGCCTTGAAAATTATCGTAACGTTAGTCTGTGCCATTTCTTCTAGTGAGCAACAATCTAGGAAAAATGAAGGGTGCCATACTTCTTGCATTAGCTTGCCTATCCGTGGCGGCCGGTAAGTAAGCGATTCTTTTGTATCTAGTGATAATTTTGCAATTTCGTTTCACAGCGTCCCAAGATAGGCAAATGATGCTCCTGGATTTACCGAAAGACATTTTGGGTGAGCTTATGGCGCTTCTTAAGGGTCAAAAGGTTGTGAAATCGATCCAGTGTACGGATCCAAAGCCCAACGACATCGAGCTATTGTTGTACACGCGTCACCAGAAATACGATCCGGTCGTGTTGGACGTATTCGCCCCATCGCCAATCAAAAGTGACAAACCGGTGATATTTATCACCCACGGTTGGTTACAGGATATCAAGGATCCTCAACTGCAAGACCTGAAAAATGCCTATCTGGAGCGATACGATTCGGATGTTGTAATGGTTAACTGGGGAAAACTGGCTTGGGACTTGTACGCTCGTACAGCTTGCAAGGTTCCCAAAATAGCACAAATTATAGCAGATTATTTGTGTCAAGTTAATTATGAAAAGGGAATGCCGTTGGAGAACGTACAACTCGTAGGTCACTCCATAGGAGCACACCTGGCTGGATTTGTTGGACAATTTACCCAGCAAATGTGTAACAAACGCGTCGGTCGCATCACAGGATTAGACCCCGCAGGTCCCTTGTTCAACGATGCACCCACCGCGGAACGTTTGGACAAGAGTGACGCGGACTTCGTTGACATCATACATACTAACTCAAAAACCTTCGGTTACAGCGACCCAATCGGACACGCCGATTTCTACGCAAGTTGTGGTACATTCCAGTCCAGTTGCGTGATTCCCGATTTCAAATTGGATAAGCTTATCAACATGCCGATGGATGCAGGTGGGAATAAAAAGTTAATATAATTTACATACTTACATACTTTGCTTACAGTTTTCTGCAGTCACCGTCGCTCTGTCGACTACATGATTGAAAGTGTCTTGAGTAGTAACTTCGTTGCTACCGAATGCAAGTACTGTCCCATTGGATGCCCACCCGTAATTGCCCTTGTCACACGGCCTGGTAAGGCTATATTAGGACAACAATGTTCTCCAGACACAAGAGGAAAATATTACGTCCCCACCAACCTCAAGAGTCCATATGCTACTGGTGGCCGAATCTGAACGTGCAACCACTGTTACTCTTGTAGCGAATAAATAAATAACAATTTGTGGCACCTTAATTTCATTTGTTTGATTGTCGTGTATATTCTTTGAAAATATACGTAATGCATGGTATTTGCCTAGTCACAAAATTTCCAAACCACAAATCATGAAATAAAAACATCCACATATAACAACATATTACTAATCTGGCGATGAATGAGAAGTCCGTGCCGTTTACCAAAATTCATCCATATTTTCTAACCAATTATTGCAAAGGGAACAAATTATAGAACTGAGAGTGAAACTAAAATTACGAGCAAACTGCTGTTAAAACCTCAATAGAGACCAAAGTACATTATCAAGGAATTTCGACATTTTAGTACCTCCTCAATCATTAGATTTTCATTTCATATGCAATTATGGGGTAGTTTATGGACCTTAAAAATAACCAAAGAAACAAAAACATATTGGATAAACGCACCACCTTGCTAATAGATGGAAGATTGCCCTATAAGAGCGGGTTTTCCTAAAAATTTTGTAATTATAAGACAGATTTCGTGGAATTCTCTCCGTTGTCCAGCCAAGAATTACAGTGGAACTTTTTTTTTCGAATTTTCAAAAACTAATTTCAAATTCGTGATTTTTATGTTCAAAAACACCCAGATACTAAACTACGCCCCTTCGTGGTAGGAATTTTGCAACAAAATTTTCAAAATCGGATAGGGCATACCCGAAAACCTATTCAAAGACGTGCCACCCATCTTTGTAACGCTTATGGTTGCTGAGAAAAAAATTAAAGAAGAAATCCAAATTTCACCACTTCTTTGGGGGTGGTTCCCAAACGAAACCCGTTGGACCCTCGGTTTATTTGGAAAAAGTACTTGTCTTGATCCCCGCTATAAAACCCTTTACGAAACTGTTTACTTAAGGTTCAAAAACATAGTAGTGCCTTATATCAAAAAGGTGTTCTATATAAAGGTACTACTTTATTCAATGTTTTACCCTCTAACATCAAAACGATTACATCGTATCATTTATTTAAAAAAGCTGTGAGACGTTTGCTCATTGATTGTACCCCGTATTCACTAGAAGAATATGTTACTCATTGCAAGCTCTATGACTGACTTGATTAATTGGTGTGTCTCCTTTTAATCTAATATATTATTATTATTATTATTATTATTATCTCGCAATTTTTTTTTACATGCGGTCATGTAACACCCTGTATATCTTACGCATTCCTACACGCATTTTTATCGCTAATAAAATACCTAGCTTTTAATCACTTAAAAAAATCATCTGATTGGTTAGAATTTGAAACTATCACCAAGCTGTTTGGTCGAATATTAATGGAGTGTATTAATCTATAAATAAAAATGACGTTGCCCAGTCTGCCCGTGCGCACATCAATCGTCAAGTTTTTTTCTTGGATCATTTGACCGAGCTATAAATAAATAACGAACTAAATATATTGAGAACTGCAGGAGTAGTTAAGGCCTCGGACGGATGGACAGACGGACAAAGAAAGTGGTTGTAATAGCGCACCAAACTTCGTTGGAAAATCCGCTAAAAAGATTTTCGTCCTAAGACGAGTAACTTTAGCGCACATTTTCCGTGCACAGATCAGTACTTCCCGAAAAGCTATTGGACGCAAGCAAGGCACAAGGATTTTTATGGTTGAAGCGTAGTTAATCAGCCCTGTGATGTACCAGAAACGTCAAACTTAATGTGCAGGTTATCTGTGAAAAAACGTTATTTTTCGTTATTTAGTATAGGGCAAATAACGCTTTTCTACAGATAACCTGCACGTTAAGTTTAACGTTAGTGATACATCACAGGGCTTATCTCATAAGAATACATAATAAATAGGAACGTTAATACTGCGTATGCACAGGGTGTCCCATTAATAATGGTCACAAGTCATGTGTATGGAACCATTGCTTTCCAGAATTTTATGGACAGAAGAGGCCACAATTTCGTAATTTTAAAACAATTTTACAACGGTAACAATAGATAGATGATTGTACTATAAGAGCGATTTTACTCTACAATTCGTACGAGGGGTTACATTTTTATATGCAGTTATAGAAGCACTTGAGGATCATGTAAATAAGATCAAACAACGAAATAAAAGTATTTGATGTACTACAACCCGGCCAATAAATGATTGTCATGTAAAGAGTTAAAAAAAATTAATTATATTAAAACGAGAGGGGGGGGGGCACATTTTTATATAGATCCGACATAAGGTCAACCGTCGCTCATCTGTTTTCAAGTGTAATACATTTTTTAGCCATTTTAATATGTGTTAAACAAACACATTGCAAATGGGTTGCTTAAAAAAATTGAGTCCAGACTACTCATAATTAAAATTAATGTAATTAATATTTCTGTCTTCTTCTGCCACATAGTCGCACTCTCTTACATTCAAAACGAGCAGCTGCTACACTGTGTCCTTCTCTATCGCACAGAACAATACACATGTTTCTCTCTCTCGCGCGCTACTTAAAATTGCGACAACTGTACTGTTCCGTGTGAAAAAGAAGGACGCAGCGAAACAGCTGCTCGTGGTGTACGCACCGACGTAAGAGAGTGCGAATACGATCTCTTCGTGTAATAGAAGCAGATAGAAATACTAATTGCATTAATTTTAATTAAGGGTAGTCTTGACTTATTTGTTTAGGCAACCCATTTGCAATGTGTTTATTTACATCTCAAGATTACTAAAAAATGTATTTCACTCGGTAAAGAGAAGGGCGAAGATGACCTTATGTGGGATTTTTGACTATTATATGCAGCTATTGAATGATTCGAGGCAAAAATTGTTTATGTACTACAACAGCTATCTACTTAAAAATTTTTGTTATGTTAAAGCGAGAAGAGGTTGCATTTTTATATTGTATGTTATATATTATAATATTATATGTTATATTATGCATTTATATATTGTATGTTCCCTTATTTAATTATATTTTCCAACTCAATTATCAGCTATGATTTTCTCATGCATAATTTTTATTAGTTACTTTCCCAGACATCCATATTTTGAAAATATAAAAAAATGCATCTGGTTCAGCGTTTCACCAACAAAAATGTCTTTAACTATTGTTAAATTGAAGCATTCGTCAATTTTACGTCATGAGACTGAAAAGCGCGGCTTTCTCATTAGTTCCTATGATCTCATCCCTCACATAAAATTTTTACGATAAAACTTTAAACAAGCACTCTCTACTACACGCGTTTGAGAACCGAAACGGTATTTTATTGTTGTCGATGCAAATGTAATTTGGTTTAGTACACAAATATAAATTTAGAAGTTAGCTCTTTCAAAATCGACCTTTGAATAAGCCTTTAATATTAATATTAAAAATGGACACGTGCAACGCGGCACCTAAATAGTCGAGTCAGTTAATTTAATGCATTTTAAGTAAAATGAAATCCTCAGCAATCAAAATCAACAAAAACAACCAACCAGATAACCTTTTACGTAAAAAAAGAAAAATCTATAAATTGCATTAATTACAAAATATAATCCATAAGTGGTGAAAGTGTTTTCGAAAATGGAACGTCTCTCGTTTGTGCTTCTCCTTACATTTTTCCTCGCAGTAAACGGTCAGTACTTTTTAATCTATTTATTTTAACTCTTTGAAATTTCCCGAATTATGCACCGATGCCCATTTGAAGTTTAATGGCATAAGGTGATTTGAAGTTAGTTACAACAAACTGTCCGCCTCTAGCGGTTTTCGGAGTCGTTTCTCCCATGATAGTTTTTGCTTTAAAGAAGCTGGCGATGGGCGGACAAATCAGGGGGCATCCGTCGCAGGGAACCCCTTGAAAATCGTTGGTACGTACAGCTTCGACCATTAAATCCATTGCGCGGAAATGAGGGCATCCAACTAAAAAAAGGTCTAAACAAAATGCTCGAAGTGCGGAAAAAGTTACCTGACAGCAGATTAATGTTGACCAAGTAGTTAAGGTCGATCTTCGGAATCACACAGCCGGGTTGTAGGGTGCCACAATTCACGAAGAAATCAACGTGACCGCATTTGCTTACGTAGCCCAATATTCCGCCATTGGTATGCATTACTGATACGAAATTGGCATCGGTTTCGTCCAGTCGCCGATTGATGGGTGCGTTGTGGTACAAGGGCCCTGCTGGGTCAAGCGCTGTGATCTGGCCAATGGTTTGCTTACACACCAACTTAGAAAACTGTCCTATAAATCCCGACATTTGTCCTCCCAAGGAATGACCGACAAGGTGAACCGCTTCCAAGTTGATGTCGCTTCGTTGACCCAACAGGCACAGAAAATCGGTCACGATTTTGGCAACCTTTGGCAATTTGCATACGGCACGATTGTACAAATCAAAGGCCAACCGTCCCCAGTTCACAATCACCACGTTAGCATCATAGCGGAACAAATACGCATCTTTCACCTCTTGCATTCCATAACCACGCGTTCCTTGCACCCATCCGTGGATGATTACAATCAATCGCTTATTCGAGTCCAACTTCAACGGATTTGCGGGATCTAAGACGACCGGATCCGCTGTGTTATCCCGCGTATAAAGTAGAAAATCTACGTCGGACGGGATAGGATCGACGCACTCCACGGTTTCTGAGAGCTTCTGCCCTCCCAACATGACGATCAATTCTTGTACCACACCCTTCGGAAGCTCGGCAAGAGTAAGCGTGCCATTTTGAGCAAATGCTATTACAATTATTTATCAATACGTCATCAATTACAATTACGTACAAATTTCTCACCTTTTGCTACGAAGAAAAATAGAACAACTACACTTACACGAGCCATTTGCGCTGAATGAACGTTCGTTTTCCGCTAGAAACTTATATAGAAGAAGACTTGTTTACTTTAGTGTAATTTGTTTAATTTAGTGTAAGGTAGTTTATTAACGATTATAATAAGATAATTTACTTTCCAAATTATCTGGACCTCGTTGGTTCTTAATACCGAAATGTTTCGTTTGTTAGGTTTCTGCAAATATTTTCGAGTTAGGGTAATTACTGCGCTACAACCATTAAACTGATCTAGTTTACATAGGTACCTATTGCACACATGAACCTTGACCATTGCAGTATTCAATATGTGCAGTATTGTCATTATATAATTCATGGTTCAAAGCATTTAGAGATTTTTCATACTACCAGCGCAGTTTGATACTTGTTTGAAGAAAAAAGTCTCTCCCCCTATGATAGAGTTGCTAAGAAAACGCAAATTTTTGATGTGATGGATATAAGATTAACATATGGTAATTTGTTATTGAGAAATCGTTACACATTTAGGTGTATAATAATTATGTCGAAATTGTCATTTGGCGTTTGTGCACTTTTTATATTCAAAGTCCAATGCACGGATTTGACAGGAAATAATGGATTAAGCGGGTTTTAGTAAAGTTTAGTAAAAAAGATTCGATCAGGGCTCATATGTAGTAAAAAAATGGGTTTTTGAAAAAATAAAGAAAATTCATCACATGGGACCTCTGTAGCGAATTTTCCAAACGAACATTATGGACACAGATTAACGAAGAATCTTACAGATCTGATGGATCTCAAGGATTCCAAGTCTCCGAAGGATCCAACTTTAACAACTGAAAACTGCACAAGTCGAGAACAACTCAAAAGACAATTTATGGCGATCGCAAACCTTCATTCTTCTAGCCCCAAATTAAAAACTCCGTATTTCCGTTAAAATCATGAGAAACGAATTAATATACCTATGTTTAGGACGCTTCGATTTTTGGATTTGAGAAAACTAAATATATGGGCCAAGATTGTTCAAACTTTGGAATCCAATTTGGTTAAGGATGACTAAAGTATAATAAGGTAAATCGACTGCCAATCGTGGACCGATTCTTAAATTGACCCCGATTTTTTCAAAAATAAACGAAATTTCAGATCAGAAATCTCGTGCATTTATTTTTGCCACCACTTTAATACTTGCTCGCCAGGAATTTGCTTCCAAGGAATCATTGAAGAAGTAGCGAAAGGTTTGGAGAAAGTATTTTGTGAAGGGAATAGAATTATAGCAGCAAGTTTAAAGTAGTAGGTACATCTGATTTCTATTTCCCGTCATTTTGTAATCAAACTTAGATGAAATGAAAGTGGATTAGTTTTCAAGATATATACATTTGAAAATCGTCCAATTTAACATGGGCCCTTATGGGAAAACGTCCCAGCCTGGCACAAATATAGCGATAAAATATTATATTCCCGTCACTTCGGAATGAAACTACCCTCTAAAGATTCCTTGTTTCATTAGGAATCCAATGATATAAGGCAAAGTACTTGCCATTGGATGAACTTTCGAGATATCTTGAGTTATCTACGCTACGTCAAAAGGGGTCAGATTGGTTGCATTTTTTTGTAACGTCAATTTTCGTAAAACGTTTCCAACATTTTAACGCCAATGTTTATAGAAACCAAGTGTCAAAAGAACATAATACGAGTATCCCTGATTAACACTTAAAATTTGCACACTCCGTTTTTGGCACCCTATATCTATTACAGAAAACCATGACTTGGAGTAGAGCTTTGATGGCCAGTTTAATCGTTTTTGTGAATTATTTTCTTGTGGTGCACTTTCTTTATTTTCTGTCAAGAACGCTTCTATTTGGTCAATTATTTTTTTATTAGTTGTGACTCTTGAATGGCCGTTCATTTGCACTCCCATTCACACCTCCAAGCCTTTCCTGCTATGCCTTTCAAATTCCTTTCGCAGTTCCTGTACTATCACTCCCGCTCCAGCTTACTGCCCAATCATTGCTTTTACCCCAGCAACATCGTGAAGCTCCATCAAGTCTTTCGAGTTCAGTGCGTTCTTTCTGTTAAAAACTTGTCTCATCATAAAACTAAAAGTAGGTAGTAGATGTAGTGTTTTTAACAGAAAGAACGCATAGAACAACTCGAAAGACATGATGGAGCTTCACGATGTTGATGGGAGTTTCGAAAGCAATGGTTGGAAGGTGGCTGGAGCAGGAGTGGCAGTACAGCAACTGAGAAAGGAATTTGAAAGCTACAGCTGCACGGAAGACTTAGAGGTGTGCTTGCGTGTACAAATCAGCGGCCATCCAACTAAATAATTGACCAAATACATCATGATGGAAAATAAAGAAAATACCCCACAAGAAAATGATTCCCACAAACCATGAAACTGGCCATCAAAGCTTTACTCCAAGTCATGATTTTCTGTAATAGATATAGGGTGCCAAAAATCGAGTGTGCACATTTTAAGTGTTAATCAGGCTTACTCGCATCATGTTCTTTTGCTTCCTTTTTGACAGTTGGCTTCTACAACAATTTGCGTTAAAATTGTGGAAATAGTGATGGGGAACTGGAAAGCTGGGATTGGAGAAGGTAGAGTGGACAGACTCGTTGGAGCGAATTGATTGGGATCAAGGAATGAAAGGGGTGTACGCCTAATAGATTTCTCTACAAGAAAAAGATGGTCATAGCCAACAATTGATTCGAACATCATAAACGGAGACATTACACCTGGAAACCTCCTGGAGGCGGAGTTGGAAATAAAATTGAAAAAGTGCAAAAATAGTGGGATTTAGTAAAATTAAGGAAGATAGGTAGAAAATATATAGGAAGGGCAATAGGGATAGAAATGAAATCGGAAGTTGCAACGAAGACTCATGAAACTACAGATGACAAACGAAAGGGTGAGGTATAAGAGAGGAAAAAGAACAAAGAAGCCATGGTTAGCATTTGAAATGATTGAATATATGGAAGAAAGGAGGAAGTGTATAGGGCAAAATACGGCAGAGGGAAAAAAGAATCAACAACGACTGCATAATCAATTAATAAGAGAAACTAAACGGGCGAGGGAGCAATGGCTGAATGCAAGGAAATAGAAGAGCTCGATCGAATAGGAAGGTACGACATCGACAAACTAGAAACATGGTGTGGGATAAAGAAAAAACAAAGCAAGATAGCTATTAGCATCAAAAGCGAAGACGGAAAGGTGCTAACAGAGGATAACCAAGTAGATACTGAATAGATGGAAAAGTTATACAAAGCAAATGGGAATTCTGAATTGATGTCAGAAACAAAAGCGGCTATGAGAGACATGAAGAATGGTAAGGATAGCGGCAGAGTTAATAAAGTGTTTAGATGAGGATTCAGAAGGAATGTTGATACTGAGGGATTTGTGTAATGAGATTTACGAGAGTAGAGTATGGCCCGAAGACTTACTTACAACCGCTGTGATCCCGCATCAGAAAAAGAAAGGAACAAGGAAATGCGAGGAACATGCTGCTAACAGTTTGTTGCGGGTGTTGGATAGGAGGTTGAGAAGGATAATTAAGGAGGTATTGGGCAATTTGGATTCCGAAGAGGTTTGTGAACCAGGGATGCAGGAAGAACTGTAAGTTTGTACCTAAGGCGTTCGATTATGTGAAATACGAAAAACTGTGGTGTGGATCGGAAAGAAAGAAGATTGATCCGTGCTGTACTGAAAGTGAGTGATAACATGACTAAATGGTTTGGAATAGGAAGAGGAGTTGGTCAAGGATGTTGTCTATCATCATACTTTATTTAATATCTATATAGAGGATATGGTCAGGAAATGCTGGGAAAAGAATAAGGTAGTAAAAATAGGCAATGGACCGGGAGTTGTAGAAGAGTGATGTCACCTAAGAACCTGCCAACTGGCAGATAACTCAAAAAATACCAGTTTCCGAAAAAAAGACATGTACCCTGTGTACAGGGTTGTTCAAAAAGCTTTCCTTCTCTCAATTCACAGGGACAGATTCATTAAGAATAATCGCCGTATTAATTAAATGACTATAACATTTATATTATTTACCCTTCCAATATAGACATCAACAGATCACGACCTCATTAGAACGGTTAGACGTTATTATTCAAGTTCCTTTTCCTCAGTGAAGGAGTGTGGTGTTTTTAACTAAGAACAAAGTATAGAACGGTACAGCTCGTTTCTTTCTATAATGTCAGGAATAGTTTGATGTAACCGAGCCAAATACTGAATTTTAGATGTATGGCATAAAAAAATACAAATGCGTTTTAATTACAGGTTCTGGCAGAGGACAAGATGGATCCGAATTCTTTTCAAGTCTGGAAAAGATTATACAAACTCCAAGTTTAATGAGTACAGTGGCATGCGCAAACCCAACACGTGCCGATTTCGAACTGCAGCTCTTCACGCGAGACAACCCAATGGATCCCGTTCCTTTAAACATGAAAAATCCGGAATTAGATCCGACCAAACCAATTATAGTTATCATACACGGATGGGCGCAGTCGCCCACCGCGTACGGCATGCAGGACATGAAAAAGGCGTACTTGTACCGTTACGATAGCAACGTAATTATGGTCAACTGGCAAGATCTCGCCTGGGATTACTACCCCACTGCAGTTTGTAAAGTACCAAAGTTGGCTAAGATGATTGCGGATTTCCTGTGCACACTTTCCGAGATTTACGACATCGATCTCGAAACGGTTCACTTCGTCGGCCATTCTTTGGGCGCGCACATGTCAGGTGTGGCCGGGTACCACACGCAGAATATGTGCCGTCAAAAAATTGGAAGAATCACAGGACTTGATCCTGCCGGACCTTTATTTGTCGACACCGAAAGACCTAACCGACTGGATTCCTCCGACGCATCTTTCGTGGACGTCATCCATACCAACGGAGGTTTCTTGGGCTACCTTGGCAATTGCGGTCACGCAGATTTTTACATTAACTGCGGCTCAATTCAGGTCGGTTGCACGATGCCGGATTATAGTCTTAACAGTTTTATGAATCTGCCAATGTCGATAGGTGAGTATCAGTGCATAAGCGCGCTTAATAATATTATGAGTTGCAGGCATGTGTCACCACATGAGATCGATCGATATATGGACCGAAGCTGTTCAGACAGATAACTTCAAGGCTATCCCCTGTTATTACTGTCCGATAGGGTGTCCTCCCGTATTCAGTATGTTCAAAACGAGAACCATGATGGGAGAAAGGTGCCCACGCAATGCAAGTGGTGGATACTACGTGAAGACCGATGTTAAGAAACCATATGCTCTAACATCTTTGATATAACTTATACATTCGCTTTCAAATTAAATGGTTGCCTTCGATTATTCTGTTTTTGTGGGAGGTGTGCTACTTTCTTCGCACCCTGTATATCACATACTGGGTGGGCGCCTACGCCGGAAAACTAATGTTGTTTGTGATTGTAAATAAGATGCGGAAAGTTCAGAAAATGAACGTTATTTTGCAGGAGAATCAGCTGAAAATCTTTTGGGTAAGATCGCGCATGCGCAGATGTGTAGGTGGCATTGTGCTAAACACAGCAAATTTTTTTTTGTGGACTTGCACTCCTAAATAAAAGCATAGTTTGTGATTATAGTACAGTAAATCTGGCACGAAAAAGTGTCGTTTTTGGAAAAAAATACCTTATAACTTTTTTTTGCATAAATCGTTAAAGTTACCTTAGAAAAGCTTAACTCCAAAAATCCGGGATGGTACCGTGGGGCAATTTTGAGAAAACTCAAAAAGTTTTTGGATTCGATTTATCTCGAAAACGGTGAGTTTTTGAAAAAATTTCATTGAACAAAAAATGTTGTGGACATTATTGTTTACAACTTTTGTCATTGCGCGGATGCTCTAACGTGAAAAATGAATGAAATAGATGGCGCTAAAGTTGCCAAAAACGGTTTTTCTACTTTTTCACCGAAAAAAAATTTTTTTTCCTCGCAATTGCAAATGCAAAAGTTATTGGCCGTAAAAAACCTACAAAATGCATAGACACTTTTTTTACGTACAATGAATAGTTTCCCAGTTGTAGCGCGACAAAGACGGTGATTGTGGAAATTCTATAACGTGGCCGTTACAATAGGAGGTTTTTCTATGCGCCCAATAGGTGGATAGTGATAACATTAATAACTTTCTCTCCCAAAAATGAGTATCTGTTTTATTTGCAAAAAAAAATCGTCGAAGATAAGCAACGTGTGGGTTCGATTGGCCGGCAGTTGTTGCTGAAGGCATGAAAAATCCGAGGTGATGAAATCAACAGTAAAGTGATTGAAAATAATAGTACTGATCTCAAAGTTCATGACAGATGTTACAAGCTGTTCGTCGACCACCGACGAAAATCTGAAGTGTTTGAAAGGTAATGTATTTTTCTTCCAAACGTTGACATGGAAAATGATGCCGTTGAAGATGTTGACTTGCGCTACCCTTCTCAAATCGTCCACTGGACTCCAATGTCAAGAAATGAAGAGCGATGCAGGATCAACGTCAAGTTCAACAGCATCCATTGGAGTAGAATCGTGGAAACAGCCACCGAAAACAAAACAACGACAGAAAAGAAACCAGCCACGTTGATAAAATTGGGTTTTCTACGATTTTGTATGAACAATAAATGATAGTCTTGTCTTATTGAGTTTTAAAAAAATATGTTTACTTATTATTTCTTTTATTTTTATATTCTCCATGAACTTTTTCCATTAGTAACTCACTGGGTAACGCACAACTCCATTTAACTTCTACAACTACAATACAATATTTTAAATCATTCCCACTGTAACTTGACAACGGTCCATTGTACGTAAAAAAGTGTATATGCATTTTGTAGGTTTTTTCACGGCCAATAACTTTTTCATTTGCAATTGTGAGGAAAAAATTTTTTTTCGGTGAAAAAGTAGAAAAACCGTTTTTTGGTGACTTTGGCGCCCTCTATTTCATTCATTTTTCATGTTAGAGCACCCAAAATTTTTTTTGAAAATCTTATCGTTTTCGAGATAAATCGAATACAAAAACTTTTTGAGTTTTCTCAAAATTGCCCCACGGAACCATCCCGGATGTTTGTAGTTAAGCTTTTCTAAGGCAACTTTAACGATTTATGTAAAAAAAAGTTATAAGGTATTTTTTTCTACAAATTTGTGCCAGATTGACTGTACTATTACACACCTACAGTTATAATGAGCGGAGTTATGTTGAAAGCGGAACGCGAATGCAAATTCCTCTAGTAAATATATTTCATTTTCAGTCGGCTTCAAACTTTTCCATACTGTTGAGACCCAGCACTTTCCATTTATTGTATTTACTTCTCATGCATCCATTTTATTTTTATTAAAATCTTTTGATATTATATAATCGATCGATTTACCTTTATTAATAAAAAGTGCTACTGGTAAAATTTCGGTAAAATCGGTCTATAAATAAGAAAGTTACTTCTGCGCATGTGTAAAAGGATACTGCCTACTGATCTGAAAACACATCAACTTTTTCTTCAGTTGAATATACGAACCAAAAAAGTGCCGATTCGATTCGATTAAAAAGAGCAGTAATTATCCCATGCTTGGTGTAAAGCAGCTGCAATCATTAGCGCATTTCTTTGATTATTGGAAATATGCTAAAAGATCTTACTTGTCGACAGTTTTGTTCATAGTTCTAAAGTGCCCAATGAACTTTCAATATTCATATTAATTCAAATGCTTTATTTAGCTTTTCGAACACAAAATTAATTGTTATCCACATAACACGTAGGTACGTTCATGTTGTTTTTTTTTGTTTAATTTTATTTACAAGTCGCTTTTTAACTTCGAGATCATCAACGATTACAAGTATATACATACAGGGTCGCTGATAAGTGTGGGAACGGGGACAATATACATGGTATCAAAAAAAGTTTCATACAAAAGATTTGAGGTTCTTAATGTATACTAGGCAGTAGTAATTTTAATTATACAGAGTTGACCATAGAGGCGTGGCACACCAATATTGCATTTTTTTAATGGAACACCCTGTTTATTATTCGATATTTCATTTCTTCTCCCAATTTTTAGCATATAAGCGCATCTAACAAACAACAACAAATTTTAGAAACAACAATAGGTACAGGGCGTCGAACTAAGTCGTTACACCCGAAAACGACAATTAAAACTCATTAAAACGAACAATTTTTCTTAGTTCCAATTTTTGATTTTGTGCCACGGTTTGAAGTTTGCGTTCTTTCGTTTTTAAAAAAAGTCGTCATAACTCCCTTAGTTTTAAGGGCTATTGAAAACAAAATCTTTCAGCTCTCTAAAAGATTTGTAGTTGCAATTATTTTTTATTTCTCCAAATAACTAAATGGCGATCGATAAATTCCAAAACAAGATTTTTGGTAACCATCCCATCGATTTTTGAAAGTAGAATATTTATAAAATCTCTCTACTACGTACATACTACATCATTTGTCCTAAACATTTTTTTTCCAAAATGTCCTCCCTTTGCAGGATAGATGATTGAAAAAAATATTTAGCACACATTTTCTAGTACATAGTGTAGGAATTTTTACTTTTAAAAATCGATGAAGTGGTTATCAAAAAAATTTAAATGTAAACTTAAATGAAAAATTGGTAATGCAGAAGATGTCTACCAATTGTATTTTTTAACTATACCAAAGAGTACTCTTTGACCCTACTAAACCGTTCATTCTCGTACTATGGATACTCTTTAAAATAATAAAGTATTTTGTCTGTGGTTTCGAAATTTTCAGTTTGTACAAGTTACACTTACAGGTTTGTTCTTATTCAAACTTGGACAGAACATCGAACAGTAAATTAGCATGAAAAGCGCTACACTACAGACATAACTTTCAAACAAAGCAATTGTGCAACCTGGAGACAGAAAACTTGGGCGTAACAATTAGGAGTATTAAATCTGAAAAGTTAACTCCGGCGCGCATTGAAATAGTTTCAAATTCGGAAATGCTTTTATACGCTCGTGGGAGTTGCTAAATTACTTTATGAATACAAAATACACATTCCATGTAGGTTTATACCTTGCTCTTATATACGGTGCGATGCGACGGTTACTAATTGGAATTTACATAAAACACGATCTATTGCTAGAAGACTAGCGAAATCTATTCTCTTATTTCATTTTATTGAGCTTCTTGTAGGTTACATTCACGTTCCACTGATTTTCATCAGACGCCGTACTATATGCTCCGGGCTCACATTTTCTACCCTATCCCCATCTTAATCTCATGCTTCAACTGTTTGGTTTAGTTTTTTGTCGAGAACAAATTAAATTTAACATTAATTGCACTAGAATGTAAAGCCGTAAAGGTGCCCGAAAAAGTGAGTCTTCATTTAAAATTATGATGTTTGCCGTTATTCTATTTTCCGGTTGTTTACCGTGCGCATATAATAAATCTCATCTTAATGTCTCCTCGTTTACATTAAATGAATGTAAAGTCGGAAATGAATTCGAGATACTGCTTCTGCTTATTTTCTTTGATAACCCAGGGTTCTCTCTGGAAAGGCGTATAAGAAAGAAAGATATTTACCCTGTCTTACAGACTCCACAGCGAGCTCCGCAATCATTTATGAGTCTTAGCGCCACCATTTTATATTTCCGATTGAAGCAGAAAGTATGGCGGTGGGAAATAAGACAACGGAATGTTAAATACCAGAAATATGCAAACCACGTATTCTGATGACCTCGACCTTTCTCCCCTTTATTATAATATGAACGCCGAAAGACCACAAAAAGTAGAACCATTGAATAATATTCAGATTTATTATTCAATGGTAGAACAAAAACTCCAATAAACCAAAAAAATATTTATAAATATAATGAACGCGTTTCAACCGCAAAGCTCATTAGCAGACAACACCATGCGATACTGCAATGTGAAAATTAAGCGCAAATCGGCACAAAACAAGTGAATAACTTTTCGGTTCTTGAATTGGAGGTGAAACGGGAATTATAATGAAAGAATCGAGTTCAATGGGTTAGCATTTGTCAACGGCAATGAATTGCGCTCCTTTTTCCCATCATGGCTTGTCGTTTCGTGACCGATGCTTCTTTTTACATTGAAACGCGTTTCCAAAACTTAATTGATCAACGAGCGTCGAGGAACTCCTTCAGGGGCAATTATTTATCGGTGTATAATTCGAATCTAAAGATTTCATTAAGATCGTTATCGCGACAGGACGACTCGAAATCGATTTTAATTCGAATTTCTTGAAGCGACGAGGCAAAATCTCAAATGAGATTTTTCGAGTCAGTAGTTTTAAGTATCGAAGCGAAACATGGACTTTCTTAGCGTATAAATCTTGTCGTATAGGAAGGTATGTCACTTA